GAGTTTAATTATTCACCCTGACAATGCATGCTCTGTAAAGTATCATCAATCGAAATCAGAAATGAGGGTCAAATGCATCTCATAATTCTAAATACGCAAGGATCCAATACTGTTTCAGATAATAGAAACGTATAAGAATAAAAGGTCCAGGCCTTTGACCGGATAGAAATTGTGTATCCGAATATGTAAAAATGCACAGGTACACCTAGGTCACCAGCCGCCAAATTTATGGCTGTATTTATGAATCGGACTCGTATTAGGGAGATTTCGCGAATGCCGCGTTCGCGGTCGCATTCCCGTACACTCCCCCAAAACATTGTTAATCTTCCCTTACAATTCTTCGATTTTGCGGGAGAGTCTCCCATTCCCAAAAGACACGACTAGCTACCATCGCGCAAAGCAAAAAGCGCCGCAACTGGTCCTGGGAAGAGGACAAGGTTTTGCTGATTCAAGCAGCCACAGACAAGCCGTTCGCGGCTGAAAAGGGTCAATTGACGAATCCGTGGCAGGCGTTGGCAGACACTTTGCTGGCTTGCGACCACTTCACCCGGGTGGTGGATGGCCGAAAGGTGCAGAACCGATCTTCTGCACTTGTCGAAGAGCACGTCGTTTCGACAAGGCCTCGGAGAAGCTCTAAACGGAGAAGCACATCCTTCTCGACGATATTGTTGCTCTCCTCGACGATGTGAAAGAAATCACATCGCAGAAGACGAGCAACAGCGTGGTCGAAAAAGAGAAGGCGGAACAAGGAGCCCTAATTGTGTGGGACATGGCCATTCGCACAATGAAGCGACCCAACGACAACGATGGTGACGAGCAGAAGAAGAAACCAGCCCTCGACAATCGTCGAAACAGCTTAGCGGCCGCCATCGAGGTTGAGAGCGAGCGTGAGTTGGTGGTGCGGGAATGTAATGATGGCAAGGTTGCCGACCAAGAATACAGCTTGTCGCATCGTTAAGAGAACGATGGCAAGACTGTCGAACAATATAAAGATTGTCGCACCATTAGCGGGCAAGGCCGTTGAAGAAGCCGTAGAGAAAGAACATTTACTTCATGTAGTTTAGTATAGTATAAATTTTCGTAGTTAGTAGTTTAAGACGACAATCTAATCACTTTCCAATTTACTCTGTGAAGCTCGCTACCGTTACAGGGAAAAAGAGCTGTCATTCCAACAGTTTAAACTCGATTCGGAGATTAAACAGCGAGAACTGGATCGCGTAGAAAGACAAGTGGAGCGTGAACACCAAATTCTAATGGCGTGAATTGACAACGAAAAGATGTTAGGCATGTTTAAAGCCT